GCGGGTCCAGGCTGGGGATTCGAACCCGCCACTTTAGGTGTATGTGGCTGGCGCCTTAGCCGGTTGAGCTATAGGTGCAGAGCCAAGGGCAGGTATTTATCATGTCAAATGTTTGATTTTGTGAAAATTGACACTGCCCTGTCTCTACTCTGTCCACAGTTTGTGTTCTGAGCACTCTCTCAGGACAGATCATGAGTATCTTTAACTAGGATATTACTTATTTATCTCTGTATCACAGTACCCAGCACAGTGTCTAATTGTATATGCCGGATAGAATGGCTGAAGTGGGAAATGGGCAGATGAATGGATGGATGGGTAGATTGGTGGGTGGAGAAGGAAAGGCACTTAACATTTATTTAGGTGTCATATTTCCTTAATTCTTGCTCTCAGTGTATTGCTATTCTAATAAAGAGCTTTGTTTCAACAAGCATAAGATTGGAAAATTGGGAGCATGGTGATTTTTTTTCAAATTGTGTGTGATCCCAGAAAGCACAACTAAGACCAATGAATTTAACTTAAATAAAAGCAATTTTCCATTTAATGTGAGAAGGACCTGTCTAAGACCCAGAGCTCTTCAATAATATGATAGGTTGCTTTGTGGAGTAGAGAGCTTTCATTCACTTACAGGCAGAGCCCGGGAAGTAATCTGTCAGGAATGATATAGAAAATCCTTCTGTATTGAGTAGAAAAGTGAGGATCCTTTCCAATTTTAAGATTTAGGATTCTATTAATAGGGTGTCAATGAGAATAGAAAAAAGAAACAAAACTAAAAGACATTTTTAAAGAACAGAAGAATAAGATGATATCAGATTCAGATATAAAATATAGTATTTGTTATAATAAATAGCATTTAGTACCTGTGTTTTATAGATACCAGGATTCTTTCAAACATAGATTATCTCTTGATATTGGACTTTAAGCCTAGGGTTCTTTCCATTACATCATCTTCCATCAAGACACATGCATGCACGCACACACATATACAAACATATATGCACATATCCGGCTTCAGTTTTCTTCTGATTGGGAACCAGATTGAGGACTTGAATATGGTGATGCCATGTATAGGGCTCTGATTTTCTTTAGATCTAGTCTAATTTCTTTCAAATTGTAGAACACAAGACTTCTAGTAATCCACATGACAATGGAGTAGAACTTTGCCTATCAAGAATGCCATAATGGCTTGGTACCCATAGTTTAGTGGTTAAGGCACCAGCCACCTACATTAGGCTGATGGGTTCGAACCTGGCTTGGGCCTGCTAAACAATGGCAACTGCAACAACAACAACAACAACAAAAAATAGCTGGCATGTGGGAGGCACCTGTAGCCCCAGCTACTAGTGAAGCTGAGGCAAGAGAATCACTTAAGCCCAAGAGTGCTATGTCACAGCACCCTACCAAGGGTGACATAGTGAGACTTTGTCTCAAAAAAAAAAGAATGCCACAATGATGAATATTTTGTGATTGTTTGTCTTTATTGATTCCTATCTTCTTGACATTTTGCAAAAATAATATCAGAGTGGTCTTGGTGTTTTATTGGTCTGGCCTTGTTATAAAAATAACATTGCTTCACCCTTCCTAGGAAACTGCATGAGTGAGTTCATGGGACTCATCAGAGGTCACTATGAGGCCAAGGAAGGTGGGTTCCTGCCAGGGGGAGGCAGCCTGCACAGCACAATGACCCCCCACGGGCCTGACGCTGACTGCTTTGAGAAGGCCAGCAAGGCCAAACTGGCACCTGAGAGGATTGCTGATGGCACCATGGTAAGCAAGTTATATGTTAGGCTTTGGTGACCTCTCAGATCCCCAACCTTCCTGAGAGAAATGGCTGTTTTTTATTTCTCAAAAATTCACAGAAAAGGAGTCAAAAGAGAAGTGTGTCTGTATATATACGTTTACACATGTGTATGCACACTCCCTTGTGTATATACAAGATTGTTTGTGTAGTTTAGAGGAAGCTTTGAACTTGGTGTCAGACTTGGCTTCAAGTCTAGTTCTTAGTTCCTTGAACAAATCACTTAAATTCTCTGTGTTTCATTTCCCCATCTTTAGAATGGATATGATATCTATCCCAGCAGGTGGGTGTGAGTTCACCTTATACACTGGCCAATACTGTTCAAATGCAAGAGGGTATTAATAGTGCATGAAGTGTCTTCCTATTTTGTATGTGGCCCTGTTATATGCTATGTCTCAGAGTCTTTTGCTTTTGGAAATAATCCTCTAGGGCCTCAACAGCAGCAGAGGCAGGATGTCACCTCCAGCCAGTTTCTCAAGCCAAGAAGAGGTCAGGAAGCCTTTGCCTGAGCTATAGTCAAGGCTTGTGAGCAGCAATTCTCAGCTATTTTCTCATTTTCCTTTGCTCTACTTTGGCATGGATGAAACTGATGGGATTTAAAACCTGTTTTGTATTCCTCCTGTGTCCGGCTGTAAACATTGAGGCTGAACACAATTGCAGTTGGCTGCAGTACTTGATTTTATTTTATTTTTGCATTCTTGGAGGTAGAGTTTGTGGACCACAGGGAGTAATTTTATGCTGAATCATATGCAAATTTGCTTTACATTTTTAAGCAAATGTCTTCAAGGCTACCTGGTTTAAAATCTGTTATACAGACCTGCCTGTCCCCATGCTTGCAAACTACCTAACCAATGAGCATTATCTGTCCATCTGTCCACTACAGTTTGCTTTCAGTCTCAAGCCTGGGGCCCGGGTTGGTGGAGCTCTTTGAGGGGGAGGGTGTACAGAGTCCCAGCTATTTGTCTTTGGCTCCATTTCCCTTTGCAATGCCTCTATGGAGTTCTGTAGTTTGACAATCTCAGTTAAACAATTACCTCTGAAAGTTCTGGAGGTAGATTCTTACAGGCTACCCCAGAATTGCCACTTAATAACCTTTGGTGCCCCAACTTGGCTTTGGGTAATCAATGTTACCAGATAGCCATATTCTACAACAGTGAGTCAGAGGATAGGGCTGTTTCTATGAGGAACAAGACTTTGGGTAATGTCTAAGACCTCAAGTAGTAGTGAGAAAGAGCTTCCTATATAAGGAGGTAAGGAGGATAGGAGACCCTGGGTATTCAGGGAGTCTAAAATACCTCAAGGGGGAGCATTCAGAAACTTTACCTAGACCTAACTTTGAGTCTTTCTCACCATTTCTCATTCTATAATTTAGACTCAGGTCCATCTATATGCCTTATCCTTTTTCTAGTTTGGAGTAATTAACTTGATACGATACTGTCTTCAAAGCTTAACTAGGATGGGGCTTTCATTACCCTAGCCAGACAGCAAGGCCCCCAAGAATCAGTCAGCAAAGTGACAACAACAATAATAATACCTGATATCTGAATAGTGCTTTATCACATGCATAGCACTACCATACAATCCCACCCAGTCATCACATCAAGCCTGTCATAGGCCATCAGGCAAGGATACTCATCTCCCTTGTTTCAGGCAAAAAGAAGTTAATGTACCAGCATATTAGACCCCAAATGCTTTTTTTAAAATTTTATTTATTTATTTATTTATTGCAGTTTTTGGCCAGGGTTGGGTTTGAACCTGCCACCTTCGGTATATGGGGCCAGCACCCTATTCACTGAGCCACAGGTGCCACCCCTAGAACCCAAATGTTAATGTTGGTGTTCTGGGTTGTGTCACAAGAGAATTCTATGATTTCCCATTTTCCTGACTATTTTCCATTTGCCTTCAGTAACCACACATTTTTAAATTTTCAAATGTGAGCCTATAACATTTTGGGGGAAGTGGTTCTGGTTTATTAAAAGCCACAGTGGAGGCCAGGTGTGATGGCTCATGCCTGTAATCCTAGTATTCTCCAAGGCTAAGTTGGGTCGATTTCTTGAACTCAGGAGTTGAGAGCAGCCTGAACAAGAACAAGAGCCCATCTCTACTAAAAATAGAAAAACTAACAAGGTGCAGTGGCAGGTACCTGTAGCCCCAGCTACTCAGAAGGCTGAGGCAGGAGAATTGATTAACCCCAAGAGTTTGAGATTGCTGTGAGCTATGACCATGCCACAGCACTGTACCCAGGGCAACAGAGTGAGACTCTGTCTAATTAAATAAATATAAATATAAATAAATAAACACCACAATGGCTCAGAAAATCAGCATTAGATGAAGCCGGAATGTCTAAGATGCACAGAGTGTTTCCATCTTCTTTTTGTTGTAAATAAAAACCTCTGAATCACGGTTTAACATCTACCATCCAGACCCTTCTGGGATGTGGCTTTTGAAAGTGCTACAGCCAGGCCTGCCATTTCCTTCCTCTCCTTCCCACACCCTCTTTTTCTTCTTTTCCTTTTCCAAGCCCATCTCCTGATCAGAGTCCTGAAAAGGCAGGCTCAAATTGCAGCTCCACCGTGACTGTCACCTTAGGCAAGTCATTTCCCAGCTCTGAGCTTTAGTTTCTTCCTCTGCGAAATGCAGAGTATGTCCCTCCTGGCAAGGACATGGCCACAGTGAGTGATGTCCCTTAGAACGTGTATATTCCCAGGATTCTCCCACGTCTGCCCTTGGAATCCAGAAAATTTAGTTCATAATGCTGTGAGAACAATGTGAGGCTTAAGTGCTTGATTCTGGTTTACAGAATGAAACTTGAGGCCCTGAGAAGTTAGGGGTCTTGAGCGTGGGGCGAGGTACTGAGCCTGGCCAGGCTAGGGCCGGGCAGGCAGCGGCGTCAGAGCTGGTAGAGCACTTGGGGACCTGGAGGCCGCGGCGGTGGCGTAGAGAAGAAGGAAAGCGGCAGTGGCCCCGGCAAAATAAATAAATAAATAAATAAATAAATAAATAAGTCAGAGGTTTTGCACCAGGTCTCACCGGCTTATAAGTGGTGGGACCAGAGCCAGAACCCAGGGCTCCAGCCTACTCTCCTCACTACGCCAGCACCCAGGATTGATTATTCAGAGATTCCGCCTCCTCACACCTTCTCCTGATCTAATCGAATGTGTTTATTGTCTGCCTCCTCTCCTCCAGACATTTATGTTTGAATCTTCTCTAAGTCTGGCTGTCACCAAGTGGGGCCTCAAGACCTCCAGGTGTTTGGATGAGAACTACTACAAGTGCTGGGAACCTCTCAAGAGCCACTTCACCCCCAACTCCAGGAACCCAACAGAGCCTAACTGAGACTGGAGCATCGCTTTCGCAATTGAGATTGGATTTGTGTGGTGTCTCTGAGAATCTCAAGTCCTCTGATAGTATTGGGGGAAGGAATTGGTTAAAATGATAACTTACTTTTCATAGTCAAGTAACTCAGATCCTGATTTGTAGAAACACATTTGGAGAGTTCTATGGCTGTCAGCTTTGTTACTCAATAAATCCTTGCTATTGTTCTGTGAAAGTGGCAATTGGCTATAATCAGGTCTTGAAGACACAGACTTGTAGCAGTCAAGACCAGCAGGCCACGTAAACCCATGAAATTGGACCAAGGTCTTATGCTTGGCCTGAGGGCTTTCATTCTAGGAACACAAGTCCGGACACCAATTAGAAACCATAAGATTAAAGGAAAGATAGGCCAAGCATGAGGGCCTTGAGCTAAAGCCAAAGCCACCACCAAGTTCTTAGGAGCTAATCCAGGCATGGGAAGGTTCAGGGGGTCAGCAGAGCTCCAAATATTTAGCTTTCAGTCTAAAATAGATGTGAGCCAGGCCAACAAATTGGCTAATTTCTGTAGCCACATAGCAGGCACTATGATGATATTGGACAAGAACCCCAGTCACCAAGAAGTGAGAACTATGCATTCACTTAGGGAGACCAGCTGTCCCAGGTTGCCCAAATGGTCTCTGTTTTTGCACTGCAAGCCCCACATCCCAGGAAACCCCTAGCTCATGGTCACTCGATCATTAACCCACGCAGTAACCACACATTGAGCTCTTACTACCTGCTACAGAGCAAGATGCTTGGGATGAATGGCTGGAAAGGAAGAAGCAGTCCATCCCCTTGTGGAGTTCACATCTGGAGAGACCAGGGCCAAAGAAGTGAAGGCCTGAGCACAGGGCCACAACAAAAATGAGGCAGTATTATGTGGAATGGTGTACCTGACAGTTCCCTCCCTGTGGTCAGCGTCCCTCCAAGTACAGGGCTGCCCAGGACTTAGGATGTCACTTAACTAGGTTCTCTTGGCATGAGAAGACAGGCAAATCAGAGCAGAAATTTGAAAGGAAGTGATGTTTGTCACTACTTCAGTAGTTTTAGCACATTTTTCCCACTTTGTTGACATAGTAGCAATTTTGATATGCTGCTACCAAGTTTTCAGTCAATAATAGGTAGTGAGAGTCAGCTATGTGTCAGGGCCCGAGGACTAGGACTGCCAGATGAAATACAAGATGCCCAGTTACATTTGGATTTCAGACAAACTGTGAATAATTTTTGGTGTTAAGTATGTCCTATGAAATACTTGGACACACACTAAAACATTATAAATGTTTACCTGAAATTTAAATTTTTATTTGATGCATTTGACAACCCTACTGGGGATACAGTGGTCAAGGAGATAGACATGGTCCTGCCCTTGCAGGGGTCACATTCTAGAGAGGAAGATAGATGAAATAAACAAAATGGTCACAAGCTGTGAAACACGCTGAGAACAAAACAACACATGACGAATGCTGGAGAGATCTTTAGAGGGGAAGGTCTTCCATGAAGAGGTGACATTTAGACCGACTGAAAGAAGAGGGAAGAACAAGTCATTGGAAGAGTGGGGCGGGGTGGAGTGGGGTGGGATAAGGTGCTAAGGAAACACCTCCTGGGTTCCTGGGGTGAAAGAGAAGTGAGTCCAGGGAGCTCAGGAGGAAACTCTTACAAAAAGTAGCATCGTCCTGAACTAGTGAGGTAGCAGCAGAGACAGAAGTGTGAGGATAAATGGGTGAGGGAATGAGGAGCTAGAGACAGGGCTGTGGTATTTCCAGTCTCAAAAAGTAAGGCAAAGGTATCTTTATGGGTAACAGAGGTTGACATGCTTCCTCATTGTTCCTCAATATAAAAAAAGTCTTAATTAAAAATCAAACATTGCTAAGTAGCAAAGCAATTAATACCTTTAAATAAGTTTTAAAATTGACTACTGTAGCAGCAGCTGCCAGTGGCCCACCTACATCCCATCAGCCATCACCATATGATACCAACTGGGAGTTTTCAGTTGCCATCACAGGCAACTCTGCCTGAGATCAAAACCTCAGCAAAAGTGCTGAGGAGTGGATGGCCTTGGACATAGCCTTCAAGCTGCAACAAATGGGAATCAGCAGATAAACACAGCGGCTCCAGGCCTTGTATCTCTGAGGGTCACATGTGCCTTGGTGTCTTACAGCTCCCACAGGGACTGAGCACACCAAGTACCCACAGTGGCAAGTCTTGCTAATGCCTCCAAGATTCAAGGCTTTCCCTTCCCTCTCACCTCCCTACTCTCCTAAGGTGTTTCCTGGACTCATCTCTCAACCAAGACAATCCCTAGATTATTTATTCACAAACCCCAGCCTTCCTTCTATGAGCACATTCTAACTGTACTACCATACGGGCACCTTAATGCCTACACATTTCAGCTCCTCTATTACCAGTCTGGTGGCAAAGCCTTGCAAGGTTGTGGGTGGATATCTGCTTAGCACCCAAGCCCTTGCACTTTTTCTCCCCACTGCTGGCAGCACCTCCTTAGCTGGAGATAATAGTTCATCGAAGGCAGCATTTGTGCTCATTTTAAAAAGATTTAGCATCCTCTGGTGTGCCTCAGGTCATCTAGAAAGTTTCCTGCATCATTTCCTTAATTCTCTGTTCTCTAAGATGTCTTCCTCTTAGATGTCTTCCTCTAAGATGTCTTTCATGCTTCCCATGAAATATGCTATCTTTTTTCTTAGAAAACCCTAAAGAACAAACACCCTGATAGAGTTTCCTCCAATGACAGGAGGGTTTTCTGCCAAATCCTCTTTGCATCTTCATATGTACTCCTGTTAGAGAAGTGTGCAATAATAGCCACCCTTCTCCTTCTCATTCTGAGAGATTTCTCTCACAGCCCAGGCTACTAGCAATGGTGCTGGACCAATGCTTCTCAACACAGGCAATTTTGACACCCTTCCACCTCACCCCAAGACCTCTTCCAAAGTCTAGAGATATTTTTGATTGTCACAAATCAGGAGGGTGTGACTGGCATCTAGTTAGTAAAGGCTGGAGATGCTAATAAACATTCTACAATGCACAGCACAGTCTCCCATGACAAAGAACTCTCCAGTGCTGACTGTCAGTGGTGCTGAGGTTCTGACATCCTGCTCTCTGCCTAGAATTTTCAACTCCAGCTGTACGTTGGATGTCCTGTGAGCTTCTATAATTCCCAGTGCCTAGGGTGTGTCCAACTGAATTAGAAACCTTGGAGATGGAACCCAGATATGAGAATCTTCTCCAAACTCTTCAGGTGATTCCAGTGGACAGTGAAGGCTAAGGACCACTGTTTTAGAAATTTTAAATCAGTACCCAAAACACCCCTGTTTCCAACCTCAATGTCTGGTCCAAACCAAATGTGCTTTTTGTGTTATTTATTTATCTATTTGTAGAGATGGGATCTTACCGTGTTGCCCAGGCTGGCCTTAAACTTCTGGGATCAAGAGATTCTCCCACTTCAGCCTCCCGCACACTTCTACAGGTGTCTGCCATCAGGTCTGGCCAAATGAGGATTTCTTAGGGTCTACAGCAATGGTTCTCAACCTTCCTAATGCCACAACCCTTTAATACAGTTCCTCATGTTGTAGTGACCCCCAACCATAAAATTATTTTTGTTGCTACTTCATCACTGTAATTTTGCTACTGTTATGAATCTGATATGCAGGATGGTCTTAGGCGACCCCTGTGAAAGGGTCATTCGACCTCCAAAGGGGTCACAACCCATAGGTTTGTCTACAGAAAGGAGTGAAAAATCCCTAAAGCTCCTGACTTGTGTGTGAACACGTAATGGAATGGGATGGGGGTATGGAGTGAGGGATTACCTAGGAGAAAGAGCAGCCTGGAGGGCAGGGGGGGGAAGGCCACTGCCTCCCATCACAAAGCACATCTCTACAAGAAAGCCCAGGAGGACACAGGGAGAGCTGAAGGAGGAGGAGAGGGAAATTAAGAAACGTAAGGCCTCGATATAAACTCTATGTAAGTTAAAAGTTAATGTGCAACTTCTGTATTATGATTCTCTAGAGTGATGAAAGAATTCAAACTTTCATTACTTCAAATCCAGAAGTTTGAATGATGTCCTTCTGGAAAGATATTTTACTACTAAAATGAAAAAAACAAAATAGACTTGAACTCTAGCATTTAAACTTCTTCTCTATATTTAGTGATCAGCTAACCTACAATCTGATATAATTAGCTTTACGTAATTTCATTTCAAAATCTGAGGTATGTCAAAAACTTATACTTTTGTGAGACAGGGCAGTGTGTAGTTAAGAGAACAGATGCTAGAGCCAGACTGTACAATTCAGATTGTACAACTTATTAGCTTTGCGAACCTGAATAAGTTACTTAACCTCCCTGAGTTTCTCAGCTAAAAAATGATAGTGATGGTACCTACCTCATAACATGAGTATTAAAAGAGTTAAGACAAGTAAATTGCTTAGAATACAATCTACCACATAATAAGCATTGTATAACAAGTAGCTATTATTCATATTGGAGTTTTTGTTTTAGTATAATTATTAAATTATTAATATAATTACCATCATCCATTAATTTTATTTTTTAGAAAGAGTAATGATTAAGAAAGTAGGTTCTGGAATCCAAACTGTACCTTTATAGTTGAAGGAGTTTGAGTAAGTGATTTAACTTCTTTAAGCCTTACCTCCTCATTTGAAAGGAGAAAATGATTTATTTCAAGGGATTTTGTGAGGGTTAAATAAGAATGCATAAATGATTTTCAGCACATAGTGAGCATACACAAATATTAGGTATGATTACATCACAAAATCTGAGCTGTGTCCAAATTTATGCTTTTGTGAAGTAGTGTAGCATATAGTTAAGAGCGCCAATGCTATATAGATTGTGGGGCCCTCAATTATCCCAATCTAGGTTTTTAAAATCTGAAATTATGGCTTAGCGCCTGTGGCTCAAGCAGCTAAGGCGCCAGCCACATACACCTAAGGTAGCGGGTTCAAATCCCCAGCCCGGGCCCGCCAAACAACAATGATGGCTGCAACCAAAAAATGGCCAGGCGTTGTGGTGGGCACCTGTGGTCCCAGCTACTTGGGAGGCTGAGACAGGAGACTCGCTTGAGCCCAGGAGTTGGAGGTTGCTGTGAGCTGTGATGCCATGGCACTCTACCCAGGGGAATAGCTTGAGGCTCTGTCTCAAAAAATAAATAAATAAATAAATAAATAAATA